CTCGTCGATCCGGCGCACGCTCTACCTAAACAGTACAGAAACCATCGAGCAATAAGACAAAAGAGGGAATGTAAAGGTAGTGGGGGCAAACATATTGATAGACAGGAAGTGCTATTTTGAGAGGCCACTTTAAACAAGGAAAGAGAATCTCTTTCCTTGTTTAAGAAATCAAATTTAGTTGGGTTATGTTATTGTTGATGTTATTGTTTGTCAAAACTGTCACATGAAAGCTTATTTATATTTTCTATTGAAACTTTTTAACAATTGTTTAACATTTTAGACTATTATCGTTATTAATTAATTAAAACTTTATTGTGTTCTAGTGTTAAAAAAAGTATTTTAATAAATAATTTTAATAAATAAATAGATAAAAATATAATATAAAATATTATGTAATTTAAAATAAATAAATAGATAAATTAGAACCCCTACACCACTGTATGATTATTGTCCAGTGTCATGAAATTTAAATTTGGCGCATTTGCATTTCCGGATATGTCCGCCATCAGAGGCCACTTTTTTGGTCTCCTTTTCATAACGATTAGTGAGAGCGCCCACCAAAGTGGCGTGGCAGTGGCAAGTAGCAAGTAGCACGCGTCTAGCATAATGTAACCAATGAAAACGAATAATTCAGTTTACACCAAAATGACAGTGACGTCATTCATTCTAATCATTCGTTTGGATTGGTTACATTATGCTAGACGCGTGCTACTTGCTGCTTGCCACTGCCACGCCACTTTGGTGGGCGCTCTCACAGATTCCCTCTTTTGTCTTATTGCTCGATGACAGAAACACAAACATAACCTAAAAATTGAAAGACATTTTGGATTTGAAATATATGAATAGATTGAAGAATAGACAGATGACTATTGAAAGATTTATAACTGTCCCTAATAGCACACGTACGTCCAGTGGACGTTCACAGTATGTCTCTCACGGACTTTAAGGACGTCCCTCGAACGTCCACTTTGGTCCTATTTACATCCCTTTAACGTCCTATATTGGTCAGAATGTCACTGCGCCAAGCGTCCTATATATGTCCATTTTTCGTCCCGAGCGGAAGTTCTTTGGACGTACCGTGACGTTAAATGGACCTTAATCGAACGTTCATAATAGGTCCATAGGACTTACTTGACGGACTTTTGTGATTTTTTCGGACGTCTATTTTAGCGCTGAGGATGTAAATTGGACGTAAATGTAAACGTAAATGTTTAAAGGAACTTACATTTATTATAACATTTATTTATATTTATTTATTATTAACAAACGGGACAAATCCACTGTCAAAATTATACAAAAATGCAACATTATAGAAATATACATAAACTTACAGATAAAAATAAAATATACATGAATAACATAAATAATAAGTATACATTTACAAAAAGTTTCATTTTGCATTTTAGTGCTTCAAAGAGTACCTAAAGCTATTACAAAAGCTTCAGACCATAGCTATGTGTGAACCATAATTAGTTTTGCGGTAAGGAACATGGAAATGTAAATTCTGACGTAGTGAATGGGAAGGAATATGAAAAAAAAAACTATCTGAAGCAATTTAGGAGATTGGTTATTTTATGTACAAGTTTATAAATAAAGATCAAAAGGTAACACTTTTGATAAGAGAATCCAGATTCAAGAAATTGATCATACGAGAATAAGAATATGGTCTACACAATTTACAAGAACAGTATATCCTTGTAGATAAGTCATTATAAATCTAATCGACATAAAAAATGATTTTAATGCAATTATAATATAATCAGTGTAAATTAGTAGAAGTTAAACGACTAGACAGTAAGTAAACCATGCTGACCAGTATGAAGCTGATTCTTTAGATTTACTGTAAAAAAATCAGTCAGTAAAGCCTCGAAAAGTTTAGGAATGGCAGAAAGAATTATAATGGAACGATAATTAGAAATTAATGAGTTAAGGATAAAATCAATAAATAAATTTTGATGAAAAGTGACCCTCAGTCAGAGATTTATAAAAATAAGCCACAGAGGCTTACATAAAAGGAATGCACAATTCCTTAAAAATAAGTTAAGATATTTCGTCTGAACCAAGACCTTTATTGGTATTAAGACACTGTAAGCATGCTTGAATATCACAGAACGTCACCAATTTTGGAAAGCTCATTATCCTAAAATATAAATCAACATGTAACAGTAATCTAACTACCTCACAAACTTGATCATCCATGCTTAATTATTGTAGCTTTAACTATCTAATAAAAAAACAGCCTCTACTACAAATTCAATCAAACATTCATTTGCAAGTTTTTGTTTCTCTTAACCATAATAAATGCCTATTCAATCTACAATTTTAGGATATATAAACAAATTATACAAACTAGGATAAAACTGACTACTAAAACTCTTTTTTAGTGAGATTCCATCAAAATTTGCACAAATTTCTATAACATTGTTTTTTTGTGAAGATAAAAATACCTTTAAAATTTGAATCATATGGAGAGTGTTTGTTCTCTGGGTCAATCAAGAAGGGTTCTACCATCTGAAGGCAAATAAGAAAGATCAGGAACTTCTTTATGAATTTTTAATAAATCACCTAGTATTAAAGGACAAAGTCCAGGTGTATAACTTATTAGAAAAATTAAAAACATCTTGATAAGGTTCTCCAGAATTCTCTTTACAACCATGTTTAGACCCTTCTTCAGTTTCATTGAAAGAAGAGCTGTGCAAAGGATCACCAGAATGGTCGTCTACGTGGTAAGTTGGATTATTTTAGGTACTTAACATGTTAATTAAAAGTTTAAGTCGGAAGTATTGTAACCTGAACTATCTGAACTGAAACTCTCATCAAAATGATCAGTTAGGGATTTTGATGAAAGGTTTGAAGAAGATGGAATATCGGGATTATTAATATTTTTAACAATATTCTCTACGTTTTTCGTAATTATCCTTTGTTGATGACGTTTAGAAACAATCCGTTTTTTTACATAAATATGTATAGGAAAAATTACACTTACCTTGTAATAAAATAAAACCAAACTCGGAAGTAAACAAATGGTACCAAACCTTTAACAATATACTATAACCAAAGCAAGCATAAAAAACCAATGCACTGCATAGGAGAATTATTTTATTTCTTTATTTAAGCATTAATAATATTATAATTAAACTGTGTCATTTGTTTAAATAGGTATGACATGACAATGACAATAAATATCATCACTATTTTGTCCAGTCAGATTATATACCACTACTTGTTCATCTTTGAAAAGATATCTTCTAGATTCACCTTGTTGATTAAAAATCATATTTTTACTTATTATGGAATTAGCAAACATATATCATCGTGATGACTAGAATAATAAAACAATTGTAAGTAATTATCTAGAAATAAAAGATTTTACACTTTACCTAAAAACAAAAACATGTTTTTCATATATTAAACTATACATTATTTAAATAATCATGATTTAACATTTTCGCTTTTAATTATTTTATTACCGTAAATGATTTTTGATTTTACAGAAATATTTGCTATTTGGTTCCATAATTGGTAAATGTCGGACGTCCAGAAAACATCCGAGTTCGGACGTCCAGGGAACGTCCTAGTAGGGACGTCCTGGGAACGTCCGAGTGCGGACGTCCAGAGAACGTCCATATTTAGTCCACCCAAAATACGTCCCAAGTACGACCATTTTACGTCCAGAGATATCCGGACCAAAACTGGACGTCTATTGGACGTCCATAGGGCGTAGTGTGTGACTAGGGTTATATCATTGTTGCTTTATAAAGTTTTGGAATTTTTTATATTTTTTAATATTTCGGTATATCTATGTCTTTTAAAAGTTAATTATTTAAAATAAATGTCAAAAAGTAAAGCAGTGATAAACAATTCTTGTTTTATATTTGAAAAATATTTAGAATGTAACAATGACGACAACGTTTTATTTGTAAAACGTGTGTTTTAGTTTTAGTTTTAAAAGTTTAGAAAGAAATTATGATAGACACACAATATGGTTTTCTGGTTATGATTAAATTAGAGTTCACCAAGATTGCAGACAAAAATATGTGTTAAAAAGAGCAAGTATATTCTTTTATATTCCTGCAAATGCCAATGTATGTAATACGTATATAGTATGTAAATACGAAGATACGTATTGGAGAACAATGAACTTAAAATTGTCTGTTACGCAGTCGGTGACGTTTTAATAGCTCCAAATAAAGATAGCCTTCAAAGACTAGTTCACGGCAAAATATCAGTGATAGTAATCAGCGCTAGAGTTATCATTTAACAAGTAATAGCAATAAAGTACCTAGCGAATATACTGGCAGGTTATGAAGACGTTTAAAAAGAAGTAAGAGACCAAGTAAAAAAAACAAATAAATTAGCAAGGTCCCTTAATATCATTATATGATGTAACCGGCACTTTTACTGTAAGATAAAATCAATCATATATAATGCTAGTATAAGACCAATAATGACGTATTCATTAGAAACAAAACCCGCACATAGCCAAAATAAAGAGAATGCTGGAAACAAGGGAAATAAGAATAATCTGAAGCATTACAGGAAACATACATGGGGGAAAAAATAAGGAGTGACGAGATCAGAACAAAATTTCATGTACAGGCTATAAACGAATGGACACTAAATAGATAGAAGAATGGAACACCCACATTATAAGAATGGTGGACATAAGAGTTATTGTCATAGCAAGAGACAAATCCTTACGTGGTAGAAAAAGTATCGACCGATCGCGCAAGAGATGGAGTGGCAATCTTCAATAAAGGCAAAAACCCGCCGTGAACAACCAAAGTTGCTTATACAAAGAAAAAAAAATAAGTATTTTAAGTTGAATAGGACAAAATTTGTAGTTTATTATCTATCAGATATGTAAATTATTTACGGCTATTGTTCTACAGAAGACAAGAAAATAATTAAAGATAATAATAAAAATTTTATTGATCATATACAAATTAGTCAATTTCAATTGAAAAACTGGTAATATTCTAAGTAACAATTTACAAATGTTAATCATATTTCTGATGGCATGCATATTCATTCGCATGGAGATTATCTTCAGTATATTGCTTTACTTGTGGATACTGGCTACATTCTTTATCCAGAATATCAGTCATACATTCCACGGCAGGTAAAACTCGTCTAAAAGATAAACATGAGTTAATTGAAAAGTTTATAATTGTTATACTCCTATAACAAAAGCTCCTCTCTTTAGTTTAAATTTATGCTGTTTTATATTACTAATTATAATAATGTCTATAATCTTTTTTCCGTTTGTTTTTAATTTGTTATTTGTTTAGATATTTGGCCTTCTTCTACACTATTTTTTTTTCAGAATCTTGCTATGTCACTTTGACAGATTTTATTGATACTCACGATTGTGTTTCCCAGGAGTATATACATGACATGCACAATAGTGTGACTGACACATTTGTGAGAATTGGGAGTGTATAACTACCCCCGCTAGAAAACAAAACAAATAAATTACAACTATTTACAACCTTTATTAGTAACATTAAGTACACACATTGTCATTTATTACAAATGTTAATAACTAGTATATTTTTAACACATTTGTTGTAAAAGTTAAAAAAGCAATTTTGATTTTTGCTCATACAGAGATAAACTTTACATTTGGTGTATGTAACTCTTGATCTACTCTTCCAGGATACCAATCTGCAACAGAAAGGATTTTTTAGATCTTCCATGACAGGCCAGTAATTAAAACCATCATATCTTTTGTCAGTGCAAGATAAAGTTGGCGGTCTTTTTTTTTTGGAGGGGGTCTTCATGTTTATCTTCTGTGTCCCAGTTTTCTGTATTTGGACTTTTCGTTCCATATAACAAATAATCTGCTAAGTTCTAAGCGAAAGAATAAGAAATCTTTAATATCTTTTAATTTTGTATTTGTTACTTCGACAGTCGCGACGGTATTCCATTCAACTGTTAACAATAGCTAAATCAAATAGATGTAGGATTACCTTCAATGTCCATTTGCGAGTTTTGAAGAAAGTTCTATACCACTCCATCATCTGATCGCAGATATCAACTTCACCCATCTTTTCGTTGTAAATTTTAGTTACGTTTGGACATGAAACCTCTACACGACTAGCACTAGCTTTATCCCATCGTTTGACTTAATGTGTGGGTTCTTGGCCAAAAGCTGTAGATGCCATTAAAACGGATTTATTATCTTTCCATTTAGTGACACATATCTTCTGATCACTGCTAACAACCTGCTCAGAATCGCCTCTCTTCATTTGGTTGTCTGTTTTAAATGTAAATCCTTTAAAACGATTGTTCATATTAGTTCCTGTGCCATGTATTTGTAGCTCAGATAATTTGAGCAACAAAGATATCGTCGAAAAATATCTGTCAAAGAATACAAAGCTATTAACCGGTAACGATTCCACTAGCATAAGGATAACTGACGGTCTTGGTTTCTTAAATTGGTACTTGTTCCTTGATATATTTCAAAATCTAGGACAGTACCATCACTTTTTGATAAAACGAATTTTTTGAAACCCACAGATTTTATTTTTTGCATATTGCCGAAAAGCACATCCACCAAGAAACGGAATCATCTGTTCGTCTATTAAAAATGCAGCTTCAGATTCTCTATTTAATTCCCGACATCGGCTTCTGACTAAATCGATTATTGGCTGAACTCTCCACAGACGATTATTTTTTGGAAATTTTAAACAACCCATCACTGCATGAATCCCAAAATTTTTTTTATTTTTTCAGGAGTTACTTTGGGTTTAAGTTCCCTTCTGTGTTTTTGTAAATAAAATTGTGCAGTACATTCTGCACACAGTTGAAAAAATGAGTTTCCTAAATACTTTTCAAAGTAACACCATGGTGTTAAAACTTTAGTGGGATCTGGAAGTATTGTTTCGGGTATATTTTAATTTTTAAATGGATTAGTTCTACCCCAATTTAGCATTAATGATTTTTGGAGATTTTGTACAGTATTGGGAACTGCGGAATCATTTCCGTCTCCACTTTCATCAGATTTATCGCTTTCTTCAATCTCATCATCTTGTACAGACAAATTCTCCTCTTCAGACGGTACCCAATCGTCATCATAATCTCCGAGTTCAATTTCCAAATCATAATCAATTTTATCCAGCAGTTCATAGATTTCATCGGGATCAGCATCCAGTCTCGCCATGTCAACTTTTCTAGTTGTTTTTGAAAAAGAAACCCTTGTTACCAGTTTTGTTTACTGAATCAATATTTTTTTTGCACCGCTCACTCCTAGCCCTCACAAACGTGTTGTTCTTCAAAACACGTTTGTGGATTTGTAACCTCAAATTAGTATTAAAAGATTTTGTCTTAATAGGTAAATATACACAATTTGTGACGACTATTCACCATAATAAATATTTTAAAACAAATAAAAATGTGTACTTACGTCTAGAAGCCATATTACCATACTTGACAAAAAGTCGGCACCATTCACTGAACAATATCATACGGATCTAAGCAAATTTTCGGTAATCTCCCGCGATAATATGATAGACACGTGCACCCACTATCGTGTCGTAGATAGGGATGGCGGATTTTGACAAAACACCGTTTTCTGTTATACCGGTTATAACTGGCCAAAAAAACCGGTTTTTTAAAGAACCGGTTTTCGGTTTTTTTAATCCAATAGGTTACAAAGTTACATTTAGAATGCACTTTAGTTTGCGTTACTTCATTCGACTCGATATCAATATAATCGAAATTAGTACTATCGAAAGAACATCAATATCAATATAAATAATTCACAATTTTTAATAAAACCATTTTATTCTATTAATTATTATATTTATTTATTATTTTATTATTATTATATGTTTATTGATTATTATTAAATATAATATTATACTGCTGTTCAACAGAGAGCGCTGAAATAATTCAGGTTTTATTGTCATTGAATATATTATGAGATCATAATATAATATGAATATGCAATTATTATATTTAATTAATGATGCAAATTTAATTTACCATTTAAAAATATAATCCTCTAAAATACCCACCAATTTTTCTGTCCACCCAAACCCAAAAAATTCCCCAACCATTTCAATTTATAAAAAATTTCCCAAACTCTTTCTAATGGGATTTTAAAAAAATATCAACATAAATATTTTACTTAAAAATAAATTTAATAATACAATTCACCTTTTTATTTTTTACTACCATCAAAAACAAATTATCATGTACCTATTACTTTTAACACGTTTGTATATTTGTAACATAGGTACATTTTAATTCATTTAATACTTCCTGCATGGGTGTATTGTAGTAAGATTCGTATTCGTAATCGGTAAGATTAGAACATTATCGGTAAGGTCAGAACATTATTTTTGGTAGTCAGAAAAAGCCATTCAATGTCAAGAGTCAAGTGTGAAAAATAGATGATGTACCAGGACACTTCTTATATAAATATTATGATTACAAATATATTTTTAACGAAACTAAAACTTAATTTTTTCTGGCTGATGTGATTGCACTTTCAGTTTGCTTCTCTATTTATAAAATAAAATAAAATTTGAATTATGGTTTTGTTTAAAATAATTAGTTGAGAATAATAATTATGATTGGGATCCAAAATAATACATAACCTAATCCTAATCACCGTAAAAACCTAATAACCGGTCTTTACTTCAAAAATAAAAAACTGGTTATAACCGGAACAAAAAACAACTGATAAAACCGGTTATTGCGAAGTAAAAAAACCGGTTTTACCTTAAAACCGGTAGGTTTTTTCCATCCCAAGTCGTAGAGGAGCAACTGGTGCAAAATGATGTTTTAAACCTAATGTTACCCCCTCTGTGGCTCAGTGGTAAGTCGCCTACCTTTAAACCTAAAGGTCGTGAGTTCGAATCTCATCTGGGTGGAGAAATTTTCGTTTATTAAAAGTTAATGAATGAAAATAATTTCTATCCTTGTGCGATCGGTACTCACCGGAGGGACCGCAGACGCTCGGATACAATTACCGTCTCTTAGCAAAGACAATGACGTCGACTTTGCTAAGTATCAAGACAATTACTCTACACACACACACACACACACACACACACACACACACACACACACACACACACACACACACACACACACACTACACTAGGTACCTGACTGTATCATGCCAATGATCATAGTTGTCGAGGCATTAGCTCAATAATAAAAATAAATAAACCTAATTTCACTTATAAATAAGACGCTCACAATTGTGAATATGGAACGTAAGGGATAAGCCTTGTAGTCAGTTGGTCGAGTTACCATGGAAACGGATTGAGAGACGTTACTTTGACAGATTAAAAAAATATTAATCTGTCAGTGTAAATATAGTGGTAATTTAAATACAGATAAATAAAATGAGTTCATCGAATAGTAAAGATGAATTTAGTAGCACACCACCCAATATTATGCAGTTAGCTGCGAACACTACCGAGAACCTATTACCAGAAAAATCTAGAGAAAGATATAAAAAGTTATATCAGCAATTTATGGATTGGCGTACAACGAATAATGCAACTTAATTTTCTGAAAAGCTACTCTTGGCCTATTTTGGAGAAGTCGCTAAGAAATTTAAACCATCCTTATTATGGGCAATATAAAACGCTCATAATTTTGAGTTTATGGAGTATAAGGGTTAAGCACCTAAGTACTTAAAATGGTTGCAAATTATTTCAATTTAGATTTGAACGTTAGAGTATTTGAACTTAAGGGAAACTACTGACGAATCTTAGATTTAGGAACAATTAGGTTAGAAAACTTTAATTCAATTAGGTTAGAATACAATTACTAATTGATCTAATTGTTGATCAGATTATTCTTCTTCTACTCTCCTATCGGAGATTGTATATCATTATGGTGATTCTAATTTTATTAACTAATGTTTTGAATAATTCGTTAGTGGTACAGCCAAACCACTCTCTTAAATTTCTCATCCAGGACATTCTTCTACGGCCTGGATTTCTGCCTCCTCGAATTTTTCCTTGCATTATATTTTGCAGGAACCTGTACTTTTGGCCTCTCATTAGGTGGCCTAAGTATTCAAGTTTTCTCTTTTTTATATTCATAATAACTTCTGGATCATTATTTGTTCTGCGTATTACCTCTTCATTTGTAATATTATCCACCCA